CGCTGATGGTTTCCCTCTAAGCTACTAATCTGTCGGTCAATGGCTTGACGTGTGAAGAGCAAACGAGATCTAGTATACTCCTTTACCTGTGGTCGCATGTGAAAGAAGGAGTTCGTTGGGCATGATCTATTGCTCGCGTACGTATGGGCGTCTTTCGGCAAGCGCTACACGACTTGGCTCCGAACTGCTACAATACCCATGCAGCGCTTGCATAGTTCCAATGTCAAATGTGACACGATTGCGATCCATCATTAAGCGTAGTCACCAATGGCATTGGCCTTACTATTGGTTGTGCATGGAAGGTGGTTCTTTCTACCTAGGTAGCTTTGGGATCCTCTCTCGTGCGCAAGGACGGCCTGAACAGGTCTATCAACGCTCCATGTAAATTATTGGAAGTTGTTACAGAGGTTTCGACATGCGTTTTGCGCGTAAGCATGGTCTGAATCCTTGCGCAATGGGTTTTCCAAGACATGAAGTCAACGTCGCCAATAACCTGGGACCTGTTATTCGAAATTAATACTTGGTACATGCACTTCACGAACTATCTAGAGTGGCGCACCACGAGACGAACTTTGCTAAGCGTCATCGCCAAGCCTCAGCCCCAGGCAACTGCGTACAACCAAACCGTCAGCGCACACTTATTGAGGACCACACCCTCTCAACGTTGACCTTGTCTCCGAAACTCGAGCGCCAGATGAATATCTCACAAACTACCTACTCTTCAACGGTAGCTCAGCTTCGCGAGCAATGGAACAATCCCAGCGACATCCTCTCCATCCTCATGATAATCGGCGGTGACGTTGTGCACACCGCCCTTGCACAAGAAGCAGGACACTGGATCAGTCCTGTTTGCTTCTCCTTTGGCTGGGTAGCGTACTCCTTTGGCAACCTAGTCCGCATTCTTGGTGACGGTCGACTGCTACCGCCGCCAGACTACCCAGTTCTGGTGTTCAACGTGGAATCGACGTACGTACGCTGCAACAGGAATTGGATTCTAGGTCGTATAATGCGGGACAATGAGCTCTACATGAACACAGTCGAACAGCTAGACGGCAGAGCACTTCGAATCGCCATTTACCACGCCTTGCCGCGACGCGCCAGTCGATATACAATACACTCCAGATCGTGGGTAGCGTACGTCGCAGTGACGCTTTCACAGCTTGCTGTCGCAGCCATACCGTTCGGTCGCCACGGCGAGTGGGGCATACTGCTTGTCACTGGTATCGGAATCGTTGCTTCGGCGATGGCAGGGGCCTCAACCCAGTGGCGGCTTGAAAAACAGCCATTGAGGCACAATACCACAAAGATACTGGCCTTGACTAGTGGGAATGGAACACGGGACATCATGATCATTCACGGGAAAGGCGAGGCGCTGGATTTGGAAGAGCTCGCTGCCAGCGAAAGCCCACGATCTGATCGGTTATGGCAGGCTGTCAAGGGATTGTCGACTCCAATGAGAGATGAGCACGGTGTTCAAAGGTATCATAGGAATGGCAGCGAGATGCGCAGAGCGAAGATGATGCATGGGCTTCCTTTGGGGGTATGGATCACCCGCCTTGAGTCGTTTTGCCAAATCACTGTCTGGCTAGTTCTGCTGATCATGGTTGCTGGCTTGAAATCGCATACCTGGTATTTGGTTCTAGTTGGAATTTTGGGGATGCTACAAAACGCAATGCTCGCTGCTGCTGCCCGCAAACCAGAAGTGCGAGGTCTGCACCTCAAATTAGTGGACACTATCATCACTTCGAGCGTGATGGATGGCCTCATGGATCTGGAGTCTACAGTCACTGGAGCTGGGGATGTACTCCGCCACGAGTTTTTCCCGGGCAAACTACGTCAGGAGGAGACTGAGTGGTGGGATGGCGCGAGATCGAAGTACGATCTAAAACGCCAAACAGATCCATGGCGGGGGCGCGCACGCTCATCCGATAATGCGTCTGCGCATGCGTCGAATTCGGACCTGACTGGAGATGGAGAAGTACCAGACACCGGTAATGCATCAGTCAGTACCTCTGATATGCCCGCGGTGGTTCCAGGTCCACCGCTAGTGAGCACATCCAGCGGGACTAGTCGAATCGTTCAAGTGGATGGGCAAGATACAACAATGGGCCAGCAAGCATGACATGTGAGACAAAGAGCATAACTTATCTTGTAAACTCAACGAGTGAACTCAAAGACTACGTCTCCTCGATGAGCCCGTCTTTAGGGATCCACGTTCTACCGAAGATTTCCAAATGACTATCAGATCCAGATTCTGCACCAACGTGAAGTCCCTCCATCTTTGTCATGCCCCGACTACAAAGTACGTATTCGGAGGTTCCAGTAGCCTGTAGATGTTCCCTGTTGATCAAAGCAAGCAAAGTTTGCCCTTGTAGAGTCGAGATGAGTCTGAATTCGGATGTCTCCAAGACAGTCACCCCATTCGTTCGAGTCGTGCCACATACCAGACATGCCATGAACCGTGTCAAATACAGCTCAAATTCTGCATCAGTGACCTTCTGATTCATCTCTTCGAGATCTACGACGCCATGAGCTACTAGTCTAGGTCGTTCAGCGGCCCATGTCTCTATCGATGACTTGCAGAATTGGCTAGCAAAAGCGCGGTAGTGCATTTCCTCGTAGTCATCAAGCTGTCGAGAGGATCCAAAGCATGGACTAGAAGGGGGGCAGGTTAACAGTTGCATAGAAAAGTCCGCCGTCGATTTCCAGAGGTCCAGCAATTCGGGCAGATAGGCTCGCGTGAATTGGACGGCGCGGACATTTATACCATGAGCAATGACTTTGAAGGGTCTGTCGAGGCCAAGCGGCACGCTGTTATGAGTAGCGTGTTCTTCGGAATACCCAAGTACCCCCTTGCGCACCAGAGCAAAGGTGTCGTATGCTGCCGTCACACTTGTCGGGTTTTGAACGGCGTGAGGCTGGAAGATCCCGTTTGTAAGGCTTCGTGATTCGGCTACCCCGTTGCTGATCTTGACGGCCAGCACGCCTTTCAGCTGTAGTTGTGGCAGTTGTTTGAAGGCATCTTGCAGCAGGGATGTGAATGAAAGAGACCTTGCATTCAAGGGGACCTGATAGCCTATGATGTCCGGGAATACCGCGAGGACATAGTCACGAGCTTTTGTTGTTGTCCGCCCGCTTCTCCAGGCACTGTCTAGGGGCAAATATCGCGCTAATTCATCGGTCGAGAGCCGCTGGTGGTTGGTCATATCTAAGTCGCCTCTGTACACCAGATCCATGTAGGCCTGGAATCTCATGGAAGGTGTGGTAGTGTCGTGACCGTGATATGCGAGTTTGTCGTTTAGAAAAGTCCGAGCTGCATCGCGATGTACAGCAATCATGCCGGTGAACTTCCACTTTTGACCTTGTGTATGGATGTTGTCAAACCGTGGACAGGGCCTTTGATCAAGCGACACAACTTGTATCCTCTTCGCATACAAGCCTTCTTGTCTCGTCCACAATCTGTCGAACCATGGATCTGCAAACATCATGTAACGGCACCTCCTCGCGTGATGCAGTTCATACTCTCCGAACATGGTAATATCTATTTCCAGGTTTTTAGACAGTTTTACCGCAGAATCAGCCCACTCCCGGCACACGGGCGACTCGATGAGGACTTTGACAAGGCGACTGCTCTTATAAACAGCAGGAATGGATGCCAGCTGGTCAGCCATTGGTATCGTGGCGTCAGTACTTTGGTCTAAGCAAAAGAGGTCCATCCAAAACCATCCAGCACCACACACATCTGGGCGACGTAGGATCTCGAGTATCCGAAACTTTCCTGGGCTCAAAGAGATGGGACTTTCTAGACCATCGACCCTGACAGATTGGATGGTCTCTGGTGATCCCCATACATGGGAGATAGCAATATAATCATCGCTGGTCGAGGCTTGCGTGTTGCGCTCAACGTACACGGTGTTATCTTCTCGTTCGCGAATCCGACAAAGATAGATGCGCATTGCGGTATGCGATCGGTGCAAAGTATATATATTCGAGACACGAGTCTAGTGTGTCCAAATGCTTCAATCGACTGGATCGTGACAGAAGATCGTCCGTGTGCGTTGCAATGTGGAGAATCGGGAGCCGGGCGATGAGCACAGCCCTTCCAGATTGTCAGCATTCTGGCTTCACATCTTGATACTGCGCGAGCGTAATCATGCCCCTCTCCCGTAGACGTACCTCGAAAGCACACCGTTGGGAGGCCGTTCTCCGAGTGGCTTATAACCCTGATGTTGTACGTGCTGTTGTAGTCTTCCCGTCTGAATTTTGGGCACTCACGCTTGACATTTGCCGACCTCTAGCAGCAATGATCTGTGTTTATCGTAGAGTGATGGTGTCGAGCTGTTCCTCAATTGGGTCTTCCTTCCCAATGGGAATGTATAGTAACGAAGTCGCGCTTCATTGGCAGTCTGGCCCCGGCGGTGGGGGCCCGGGTGTAGAGCACACGCGCATGTACCTAGGTAAGTGGCCGTTCTCAACTTTGGTAGAGTGATGCAGGCTTCCGTTTGATCTGCAAGCTACAATGATTATACCCCTGTTCATATCCGAAAAGCCAGCGACATCCAGTGGTTCCTTTAACAAGTCGCAATGTCAGGGTTGCCGGGTATCTGGAAGTGAAGGTGTGAGAGGTACAGGTGCCTGAAGGCGCCAGTAGTGCCGCGCTAACCGTCCCCGCTCTTGGCGCACTCCCAGGCGGCATCAGAGTGGGCCATGCACTGAGACAACAAAGGGTGATGTTATATTCAGTCTGCCTTACTCTGTCTTGGCTATGTACCAAGGCACGGTTCCGGGTCGGTCGGCTTCCAGTCTGACAGATGACGTTGCGTTTGTTGCATCGCTGCTACCTACCTATGTATACTTGAGCATTACCACGTATCGTGCTCTTCCTGTTCGCCTTCTTACTTCGCTCATTCTAAGTTGCCCCCTTCACTACAAAGACTGAATCTCTAACCAACATCATGACTTCAGCATTCACTATAGAGACTGTACCTCTCCCCAACACCATGACTTCAACACTCAGTTCGATCGCATCAGAACTCGTTCCGATCCCATCGAGCGAAGCCTTGCCTACACCCACGTCCTGTTCTCCAGGCATCGCTCCTAATGATCTCAACATTACGGGACTCACAGGTCAAATCTGTCAGGTCAACGTTCCTCCGAACGATGTCAACATCACATCCTGCTGCAACAATGGTGCTGAGGTCCGTGTCTTGAACGACTGCACTCAGTGGTGCGAGGCAGATGATGGGAGTGATTTCTTCGACTGTATCAACGACATGGCCTCGTCGGCGTATCCCTTCCTTGGTGGGCCATGTGTAGTCTTGTCGGCAAGCTCGACTCCAACGATGTCATCATCCCGCACCGGAATCGCATCGACACCGTCTACTTCCCCAGAGACTCAGACGCCGGAGTCCACCGAGGCGTCGCCTTCCACCACTGAGTCAGAAGAGGATGGCGCTGAAGCAACGGAGACTCCCGATGTCGAAGGTATGTATCCGCCCCATCAAAATCTGTTCTAGTATCACAGCTTGCTGATTAAACAAGACGCGGCCACAAACAACTTGCGTAAACACGCACTTGGCACGACAGTGTTAGCTGTAGCTGCAACACTCGGCATTTTGGCCTGGCTTTAGTCAAGAACCCGTTTAGAATACATAGGGAGACATGTACCGATCTACACGCACATAAACCTGGTATAAAGACAATATTGCAACACGAATCCGTAGATTGCACCCAGACGTTCAACATGCACAATTTCTCAAACTTCTTTCTTGTCATATGACGTGGTAAAATGAGCTGCTGCAGAGCAATCATCGAATTCAGTCTGAGTAGGGTAGCACATGAGGCCTACGCTTTGCTAATAGCAAGCACATACTATAGCATACTTAAAGCGCCCAGAAGAACGCAGCGAAATCATTCGTATCTCATCAATCATGCACGAATTCAAAGGTCATGTTAATAATGTGCGCAAAGAAGCGATCCATTTTCTACAAGAACAAGGCTTTTTCAATGTCACTTCGAGTGCAAGTAGTCTCAGCAACGAGATTGCACCAATCTTCGCTCGCGACCGGTTCATTGGCGTCTCACAGAACATGTACGTTAACATGAAGCCTGCTCTACAGCTTGCCAGTCGATTTGTAAGCGATGAACGAGTTCTGCAGTATTTCTGGCATCAAATGAGAAGCACTACCTCACCTTCCAAGACCTTCGCAGCAGACTTCCCGCCCCCACTTATCTACACCTCGACGTCTCAGAATGAACACCCATCAGTCTTGATGGCCGACTGGAGGGAGAAGCTTAGCAACTTAGCTGACGTTTTGACCTGGAAGGTGCAAGCATCCGACCGTACACCGAAAGACATGGATATGGGATTAACCTTCGCGTTCAAAGACCTTCGAACGGCGTACACAGCGTACGCGACCAAGGACAGAAGCCATAACGATATCTTGGAGCTTTCCAACTGGCCTAAAATCGATCTAGAGACCAAGATACGCTCTTGCATGGTAGCTTGGTGCGATGATCAGATGGGTTCGGATTGGCGATATCGCCCGGGAGGGTTGAAACAAACCAGCCCTTGTGTCCTATTGCACTCATTCTTCCGCAACTTGCTCGACCCGAGTCCCAAAGCCGCTACCCCAATTACTTCTGAGCCTGCGGCTCCACCGATTGTACAAAATCTCGGACCTCAGTTTCTTCTCGCTGTCGTCCTAGTTCACGAGCTGGCACATTGTCTCGACAAGTTCCCGGACTTCAAGTGCGCGGACCTTCGAGGTCAAACGCGCGAAGCTTTTGCTAGTGAGGAAGAAGCCAAGGTTCTTCCATCTCCCGAATGCGGTCTCTCTTGGGAGCGGTCAGTCTTTCGCGAGCGTTCTTTCCGATTTGTCCAATTCATCGCCGACCGAAGCAAGGCACCAATGAGCTACACAGATGTCAGCGGTCTGGCTGTTCCAAAGTTTTTCCACAGCGACGATCGTCCTACTGCTTCATCACCTACTTTTACCGTTGGTGAGAAAAGCTACAAGGCTACGACTGACTTCACGAGCTACGAGAGTGCACTTGTCCCATGGCAGTGGGTTTCAGACTGGTTTCAGGAGTCGCATTGGCATACCAGTCGGACTCGTGAACAAGTACTGGCCCTGCCCTTTCTGGGATGGAAAATGTCCTATGAACTCCCTGCGCCAGACGACCCTTCCACGATAGCTGACGAGATTGTGAGAATCCGCGTGAAAGCACCTCATGAGGATGAGTAGGAGTAGATGTGAATGCGAAGCTTCAATGCGGGCCGCGTAGGAGTGGAGGGGCGCAAGACTGTACACCTACTGAGAGGGCTGGGATAGGTACAGTAGTATTACACCCGATGAAGACATACATACAGTCCCTTAAGCAGCTTGCTTTGTTGTCTCAACTGTCTCCTTCCCAAAAACATCATGCTTCGCATCCTCCACAATCCTACACTCATACAGTTTGAACTTTCGTGCCGCCACTCTAGCTTCGAAGATCTCATCCAGCTCCTCTAATGATCGCGCTTTCGTCTCCGGGAGGAAGAAGTAGAACCAAGCAACACAAATGAAGTTCGAAGCTGCCCATATGTACGTGTATTGCGGACCCTGCACTCGTGTTAGCGTCATAGAGAAGAGAAAGCATGCTCACTTACCCAGTCAAGATCCTGAGGGTTGATAAAGTATGGCGAGCAAAAGCCGATCAGCCAAGCCAGGAAGTATCCAAGAGCATTCGCGCTGCCAACTGTCCAAGCTCGCAGTCTTGAACTGACAAGTTCCGTCGCTAGAGGACTTGTCGCAACGCCCACCCCGGCATTGTAGCAAAACAGGAACAGCGCCGTAAAAGCCACTAACACGTTTCCAGTCTCGACTGAGTTGGGCTTTACGCTACTTGCGATCCCACAGGCAAGCTCACATAGACCACACGCTATCGCTCCAGCGATCATGATCGTTCTTCGGCCAAAGAGTTTGTTCATGGAGAAGAGACCAAGGTGAACACCGATGAAACCGATACAGGAGTTCATGATGCTATACTCGAAGGCTTTCGTGATACCAGCGATGGCGAGGAAGTAGGTCTGATAACCGATGAAGAACCAGACGCCACTTGCGGACTGACTCGCGATCGTGCCCCAACAGAGTAGCGTGCGTCTCAAGTCGTTGCCGCGGAAGAGGTCCAGAAAGCCTGAGCTTTGACTCAATCTGCGCTCTTCTTCCACACCACGGATCATCTCCGCCCACTCCAACTCTAGCGCTTCGCCATGATCGAAACGAAGACGCTCCAAGGACTTGCGCGCCGCATCATGTTGATCACGATGTAGAAGCCATCGCGGACTCTCGGGAACGAAGAAGAGCGCTGTGCCGAGTAGAACCGGCACGATGAACATGCAGGCGAGAGGGACTTGGTAGGAGAGTTTCAAGAGGTAGCGTGAAGTGTAGTTGTCGATGATGGAACCGATGATGCTTCCGAGATTCACGTAGAAAGAGAAGAGTCCGACCATGATTCTGCCAATTGTCAGTATATCTATCGTCCGCGAAGAGACCCGGAAACGTACTCCCGAAGATGCGCCGGTGCTGCTTCGCTGCAGTACACAGTCGAGAATACGACAAAGAAGCCGTTGGAGAAACCTAGCAACAGACGACCTACGTACAAACCAGCCTTGGAGGTAGAGCCAATCTGCACCGACACTGCAGCCAGACATATGATGCATGCGAGCCACAAGGCCTTCCTACGACCGAAATAGCCACCAAACACACCAGCAGCAATAGCAGATACGCATGAACCTAAATTTAGCAAGGAGGTCATGAGCTGTTGCACCGTTGACTATCTTGCGCGTCAGTAGCTTTCGCGATGTCATAAGCTATGTGGACTTGCATCAATGCCATAGCCAAGCGGGCTTGTCGGATCCTCATACCCAAAAACCATCAAAAACCCAGGCATCGCCTGCAGACCGCCTACTGCAGCGGTGTCAATGCCGTACTGCATGCTAGCAATAGCGACGGCGGAGCATATTAGTAAGCATTTGCGGTTCGCCCACAAGGACGTCTCCTGAAGTTTTGCCATTATTGCCCACGCAGGGACAGACCAGCATCCATCTACGAGAAGGAGGGATCGCAGCCTTATACAGCGAGATGTGCGAGTCATGCGAGGTTAGCATCGTGGGGCAGTGAGGAGAAACCCATGTCTTCTCCGCACTGGCAGGGGTGTTATGCAAAGCTGTATGGAAATGCCCGACACCTTGCCATTTCGAGAGTTGATCGACCTAGCGAGTCGGCGCATACGTACAATCCATGAATGATATCGTATCTCAGCCAATCCCTACTCGTAGAACGTGCTGAACTTGTACTTGGTTTCGCGATCATACTTCGCCAAATCTTGCCGTGCTTGTTGCGCCTCTCGGATAACGGTCTGCTTGATCTCTTCGTGTCTGGGTGTAAATCTGACCTTAAATGGCTGGGGTCGCCAGTTCGATCCGCTCCTGCTAAACGTCAATACTCACGAAGCTTCATAACCTTGATATCTGTGAACAAAACTTACGTGAACTTGAAGATGTCAACAGGCACTTCCTCTCCCGTTCTTGGGTCCAACTCTGGCTCCACCTTGTATGCCCACACCAATCGTGCGATACTCAGATGCGTACCCTGCTCAGCCAATGCTTGACCAGCACAACTTCTTCTGCCCCACCCGAACGTCATATACCCCTTCTCCCCCGGAAACGGTCTCTTGTCGTCTGTGTCCAAGAATCTCCTAGGGTTGAAGCGATCGGGGTCGGGGAAGTCACGCTCGTTGTGATGTATTGCCCAAACGTTGCCCTGTACCCAGGTCCCCTTCGCTATATAGTAGCCGTTATAATAGTCATCTTGGGTAGGTGCATGAGCAGTACCTCCTATAACCGCCACGGAACGCCAGCGAAAGACCTCTTTGACGAAAGCGCGGAGATATGGAAGGTCATCGTCGAGCGTCGGACTTCGTTTTCGACCTACTACACGGTCGAGCTCTTCCCAAGCGGGTTCAAGGGTCTCGGGGAAGGCGCGCATTGCCAGTACTGCTGTTTGTAGAGTGCTACTTGATGTGTCCGCTCCAGCACCGAGTAGGTTAGCGGCGAGATTGGAGATTTCGAGAGGATGAAGATTGAGGTGAGGTGCTTCGCGAAACAGGTACTTGGAGTAGTTCTCTTCTGGACATTGCTTGGCTTCTTCAGCCAAAGCATAGAAGAAATCGTTGCGGCCGTATTTGGGCTTTGCTGAACGTCGAGTATCACGCTTCCAAGGAGCCATCCAATTGGGAAACTTGGCCAGCCCTGTCTTTGTTAGTATGGATCTGAGTAAGTGGCTTCAAAAGTTACATGGGAAGGTCTCCATTAGTCGCGGGAAGTCCTTGGCGACGACGGCCATCTTGGCAGAGGTCTGCATCTGAGCGATCACTTCAGTGATCAACGGATCTTGTATGTCTCCAATCCGACGTCCAAAGCCGATGATCGACACAACGCTCGTAGCGTATCGCTCGAAATGAGCTACGAATTTGTCGGGGGTCTCTAGTAGGTCGCCTACTACTATCTTGTTTTCGTCGTCTTGGAGGCTTCGATGGCGTTTTATCTGGTAACGTCAGTATGAGCAAGATGAAACCCTGTGTTACGCTGACCTGCTGTATCCCAACACCCTGGTGGGTAACTCTCCTGAGGTCGCGAAACCTTTCACGCTGTTCTTTTGTGTACGTGTATTTGTGCAGCAGGTTCATTTGGCCGGACATAAGCTCAGCGAACATTAGCATGCGGGGTCTAGAGTTGTAGATGTTTGCCCGCTTGACGAGAAGCTCATCAGCAGTCCATGCGTCATTGACCCAGACTGTCGGTCTCCTGTGTTGTGTCATTCACAGTTCATAACCGCAGAACTGCTGTTGAACTAACCGCCCGATCCAGAACGTGATGAGTGGTGACTTGTATTGTTTCGATAGTTGTTCCATGAGATACCAAGGCTTTTCCTCCGGTAGATTGAAGGTGTTTCCAACAATAGGCCAAGGCAACGGTCCTGGAGGCTGCTGGCGTATTAGTGACAGACCCAACATGGAACTGGCAAAGGAGTAAGCAACTACCATTCGCCATCTTAGGTACAGCATGCGGCTGTAGTCTAGTATAAGAGCGACGATGCCCAACAGAAGAAGAGAAGTAGCCCACATGCTCGCAATTACAGAAAGGCGATTATCTCAATAGTAGACCGAGAAGCTGGTGGGTGCAGAGATCTTGGTGCCAGCGATGGTCATGATGTTTAAAGAGAAGCTTATACACGCGCCTTCACGTAATCATACCCGTTGCTTCGTTTTCGAATGCTACGGCTGGGGATCATCCCCACATTACCGTGGTGGGGCAGCCCGCTTTGGCTGTTCGCGGGAGGGCCGGAAATAAAGACATGCGTAATCCACAATATGTGCATCGCGCCGACATATCCAATTCGCTGCGAAACTACGAGACGCGTAGATTGGTGTTGACGGGCTGGGGGAGAAGCGGGGTATGTGTAACGCAGTCCCTGTCATGTCTCCTGTCCTGGATTCTGTTGAACTACAAATATGTGGAACAGAATCTGCTGTCCATCCAGAGATGATCCTTGGTTTTGAGGTAGAAGAGGATGCGCCTTACGCTCAAACCGATGCATAGCGTTGTTCGGCTCGACTTTCGGTGCGGTAGACATGGCATCTACGAAGCAGGAACGGCTGATCTTCGCTCAACGAAGGTCCAATGCGTGGTATGTATCAGGATCTAACGATTCGCTGTGTCGGAATGCGGGCATATGCGGTGTTGATGCAGCATTCTCGCCCAGCTGGTGTTGAGCAGTTTCGCCAGATTTTGATGACGTAACGCGCAATGACGGATACATCTCCGTGTTGGGTTAGTGCCGAATCGCGCTCGTCGCAGACACGCGGCCAGCAGCGCGCGCATACGTGACCAGTACAGCTTATTGTATGTTCACTCGAGTATGACACGCAAGCGTTCGCCGACGCTTGGTAGATGACAACACAAGCTACCGCTACTATGGGTTCCACCCAAGGCTCTGACAGCGCCCACTATGTGCCCAATGGCACCAATGGCGTAAAGCGTGAGTCTCCACCTGGGCACCTGCACGATGCAATGCAAGGCACAGTCCAACCCCGACGCTAACAGCACCAGGCCGGCGAAGGTCAACCGTTCTCAATGCGAGATCGCATGTGAAGCAGGAACTATGGAAGCAGGCGCCGATACTTATTGGCAGCACCAACTTCG